TTGATCCCACGTAACAGTAACTGTGGCCTCAAGTCACACAGGCCGATCTTAGTTACCATGCAGAATCGCATGGTTCTCCGTCTTCCGGCAGAGCTAGTCTTCCAGTGACTACATCCTTCCTAGGACTTTGCACAGCATCTATCTCATCCCTTTCCCCTATTTTTAGGTTTTCTTATTGCACTAATACTGCTTGCTCGGCTGCATATACATTCACGTGTGACCCATCTTAACCACCAGCGTTATATTTCCCCGCTCTCCTTCTCTAGTGAATGTTTCTGACAGCTAGTGGAGCCACGTTATTGACTGTATACATCCTCTCCTCACTTACCAGCATGTTTAGGTTCTAAAGACCAAGTCATTATGCAAAAACTGGTCTTATGTTAAAATGAAGGATGATTACTTCAGATCACAAAATAGAGGGTGATGTCATCATTACACAACTGCCAAATGATATCATTAAATAACTGCCAAATGGGTACCATTATGTAAAGGTCAAGTTTCCTTAGTACTTAGCTGCCAGACGCTGAGTCATGGCCTCGCCAAGCTGATACATACCCTTAACTGTCACAGTCAGAGTAATTCTTGCCTTCACTTTGGCATGTTACTTCCAGACATAAGTCACGGATGCATTAAATGGATAGTAGAGTGTTTACTACATACCTGACATATCAGGCAACATAATAGTGACAAGTGAGACAAGGCTGTATTTTTCTCACCACTGCTTTCTGCTCAGTCCTTCACTGGTTCATACTATGTCATTCCCATCAGGACTGCTTTCTGACTCCCAAGAGCCTCCTTCATAGCAGATTCCATGCATTCTGCTGTCTTAAACACTGGCCACTGTTATCTTCTTGAAGTTCCTTTATCCTCTGGCTTCTCTGTGTTAATCTGCCTTTCCTCCTAAGTTACTGATTTCTGTTATCTTTACTGTTTTCTGTTTCCCTTCCTTAAATGCTTGTGTTATCTTCAGTGCATCTCACTCCCTCATTCCTTCAGCCTGGTGCTCCTGTTTGCCCACTCCCTCATTCCTTTTATAATATTTATTGAACACATAATAAACACTAGCAAGGCTCTGAGGAGATGGTGCTGAGTAAGACACCATCTGTATGTCCCAGGTCTCCTCTAAACAGGGAGATAAATGTTAGACAAATACGTGTAATCATTGCCACAACTTCAATCATCCTTTTCTTTTTTGCCTACAACTTCTAGATCTGTACCTACATTTCCTTTTTCCTTTCTGCCTTTGTGCCTTGCTGGCTTTACCCTTTGTCAGAGGCTGCACTTTTAACCATATATAGTTAGTTATTATAAGGAGTAAGTGCTTCCTTGTTTATTGTATTGACCTGTCTATTTTTGACTTAGAGTTGAATTCACCGTGAGGGTGAATTTTGTTCCAGTCTTGAAGGGTGATTAACGGCTATAGTCTTGAGGATCCCACTAATCCCCATCAGACCAGTCTGCCTGGCCTGGTTTTCTGTTTTTGAGTTTTGTTCCACGTTTCCCACGATCTATGCAGTATCTTGTGTGATCCATTTAGAGTGAGTGGCAGTGGGAGCCGGGCACCATTTAGTTCTTCTGTCTCAGGGTCATAGAGAAGATTCGTGTGTTCTCTTAGTGCTCTGGACTACTTGGTTCTAGACATCTTCGCTTGCCTCTCTTTTTCTTTGCTCCAGGCAGGGAGAGATCAATAGTTGCACGTTTAGATGGCTGCTTGCAAGCTCTTAAGTCTCCTGTCACTACTCACCAAAGACAAAAACATGATCCTTGTAGACTATGTTAGACCAGTTGACCTTGACATCCACCAAGACTATGACGCTCAGGCATAAGATCCAGCATGAAAACATCTATTCACTCAGGGTATTTGCTTTGATTAAGGAGTTATATAGCTTTGACCCCTGTTGCCTGAGCTACGCACAAGGATATTTACAGCCTATATTGTAGTGTTGTTGTTGTTGTTATGTGTCGTCGAGTCGTTTGCGACTCATAGCGACCCTATGCACAGCAGCCCTAAACCCTGTTCTATCCTGCGCCAACCGCACTGCCTCTGACACACTCATCCCGATTACCCCAGTCACTGAATCAATCCATCTCATAGAGGGTCTTCCCCTCCTGTGCCGTCCCTCCACTCTGCCCAGCATGATGTCCCTCTCCAAGGACCCGTCCCTCCTGGCAACATGTCCAAAGTATGTCAGATGAAGCCCCAGAATCCTTGCCTCCAAGGAGTAGCCTGGTTTAACCCTCTCCAGGATGAATCTGTTTTCCTGGCAGTCCATGGTACATTCAGTACTCTTCTCCAGCACCACAGCTCAAAAGCATCCATTCTCCTTCTGTCCTCCCTAGTCATTGTCCAACTCTCTGATGCATAACAAGCGATTGCAAAGACCATGGCCTGTATCAGGCGCACCTTAGTCTCCAGAGAGACACCGTTGCTCCTGAGTACTTTAGAGAGGTCCCTAACAGCAGACTTTCCCATCGCGATACGCTTTTTGATTTCCTGACTGCTGGTGCCAAGAGTGTTGACTGTGGAGCCAAGCAAACTGAAGCTGTGAACAATCTCAATCTCTTCGCCATCCATCCTGACGCTGCCAATTGGTCCAGTGGTGAGAATCTTTGTCTTCTTGACATTGAGCCTCAGTCCATACTGAAGGCTGCAGTCCTTGACCCTTCGCAGCAAGTGCATGAGGTCCTCCTCAGTTTCAGCAAGCAGGGTTGTGTCATCTGCATAACGCAGATTGTTAATAGATCTTTGGGTTTTAAAAAACCCAAACAACTCATTGCCCTTGAGTCAGAACCAAAGCAGAGCTGCCTCTCCGGGGGTTTGTGGAGGTTGTAAATTGCAGTAGAGGAGCTTGCTCACTTTTCTCTTGTAGCTGCTGCTGGCCTTGAACTGCAAGAGAGGTGCCACCTTTGGGTGAACAGCACAGCTCCCTGCAGGGTGCATCGCCACAGCTAATGCAAATACATTAATTAGAAAGTAGAGATAGCGTCTGCCAAGCCGAGATATGGTCATGGCTGGTGCCTTTTCACATGTCCAGATCTCTCCACAGCTACATTTTTCTTGATGATTAGGAAAATTATAGCCAAGACATTTGAAGTAATAAAAACCCCTTAGGTTGCAGCATCATGATAGATGGTGAAGAGATTGAGATTGTTAACAGCTTTAGTTTGCTTGGCTCCACAGTCAAGACTCTTGGTACCAGCAGCCAGGAAATTAAAAGATGAATTGCATTGGGAAAGTCTGCTCTCAGAGACATCTCCAGACTACTGAAGAGCAACGATGCCAGTCTAGAGACTAAGGTCTGCCTGATCCAGGCCATGGTCTTTGTAATTACTGATGCTATGCTAATAACTTTTCAATTATTTTGATGTTATGTATCAGAAAGCTGGACAATGACAATGAAAGAAAGAGAATCGATACTTCTGAGCTGTGGTGCTGGAAAAGAGTATTGAATATACCATGGACTGTCAGAAGAACAATCAGGTTCATCCTAGAGAGGAGGAAACCAGGCTGTTACTTAGAGGCAAGGATTCTGAGGTTTCATCTGACATTCTTTGAGCATGTTGCAGGGAGGGACCTGTCCTTGGACAGGGACATCATGCTTGGAAGGGTAGAGGGACAGCACAAGAGAGGAAGACCCTGGATGAGGTGGGTTGATTCAGTGACTGGGGTAATGGAGGTGCTTGTGTCAGAGACAGTAAGGTTGGCAGAGTACAGAGCAGGGGCAGAGCTGTCATACATAGGGTCGCCGTGAGTCATGAGCAACTCAACAGCACGTAACAGCAACAGGTAGCAAAACAAAAACTCATGTAATTGCTTCAACTTTGGCATTTAATGTAACAAAAGCTTTGAATCATTTATTTAATGTTTTTTATATTACTACATCTTTTTACAACCTGTGGAATCATGGTGTATGGAAAATTGCTAAGAAGCCTTGGCTGTCTTTTAGGCTTCATGACAGAATTGCTTTGACCTAATTTATTGCAATAAATGTTTTTCTGTTGTTGTTGTTAAGTGCCAACTCTTAGCATCGAGGAGAGTCCTCGATGCTTGGGTGCCTTTCATCCTCTCTCCAGGTTCATAGGGTTTCCGTAGGTAAGCTATTACGGAAGTGGATGCCACTCCTCCTTCCAAGCTTGTTTTAACCGGTGAGCTCCACCCCACTGTCTGTCCACAGTGGGTAACCAGCCATTAACGCATTTGACACATCCGTGTCACAGTGTTCAGCCTCACAGCAACCACAAGTGACCGCTGTACGGTAACTTGTACACCAGGGCTATATGACCTAAAGGAATGTCTGGACAAAAACAATGAAAGACTGTTTTTCTGTTAGATTAATAATTAGTAGAATTAATGTCTTTAATCTATCAGGAGCTCTGGTGGCCTACTGGCAAGAAGCTGTGCTACAATCCCAAAGGCTCGTGGTTCGAATCACCAGATGCTCCACTGGAGAAGGAGGGGCATCTCCTCTGCTACCAGTCGGGTCCAATTAAATGGTACAAACACACACACACACAGAGAGGGAGAGAGAGAGAGCTAAGTAAAAAAAAAATAATAGCGTGCTAGGTAAATAAAACTTCATAAGCTTCCCAAAAATTTAAAATTAAAAAAACAATTTTAAGAAAATGCTAAACTCTCTTCCATTATAGTAGGGATGATTTAAAAATGAAAATGAGTTAAAGTAATCATATTGATCATATAGATCATATTCCTTAATCTAACTGGGGCACTTCAAGTTTGTGTATGCTATCTCAGTATAATGTGACTCGCACTTCTTTTCATTTCCAAAGTTATCTGTATTTATACAGGAGATTATGTGGTGACTCTAAAGCTATTTTCAGGATATGGCAGGGTGCAGATCTGTTCTTGGGCCACTGTGAGTCATAGCTGACTTGATGGCACCGAACAGCAGTGACAACAAAACTATTTTCTAAAAGGTTATTATGTTACTATGCTTGTTATTAGTAAAACTACTAATTTTTTGTGTTTTTACTATTTACAGTCAAAGGTTGATGGAGTACAAATACTTTTGGAACAAGACACTTTCATTCCTTAATTCTACTAAAAGGGAGCTAACCAGTATTAGAAGTGAAATATTTGATAATTTCCAAAACTGGACTTCACTTAAAGAAGAAGTTTTTCTGCAGATTAAATCTCTAAGTGAAACAGCCTTGACAGGTTTGTTATATTTATTTAGGAACAATTGTCTTCTTTTTAAAAAATAGTACATAAAAAATAATGAAGTGTGGTGATATTTCATTATATGTGATAAGATGATATTCACTTTATGAACTTGTTATTGATTGGTAGATATCTTGATATTAGTTGCCATTGGGTCAAGTATGACTCATTGTAACCCCAAGAACGACAGATCTGAGCCTGTCTCGTCCTGTGCCGTCCTCCTTGTCTCTCACATTCTGGAGCTTGTTGCTGCAGTCTCTGTGTCAGTCAATTTCATTACCTCTTCCAAGTCAGAGATCCAGCCTCCGGGGCTTATCTAAAATAACAGTGATATATCTGTCTTGAGAAATGTACCAATTTTGTATTTTTTTAAAAATTTCTTCTTTAAATAGCACAGTAATTCGTATTAGTTCTATACTTCCATAGATAACCACTATAAAGTCATCCAAAATATGAAAAAGAGCTACCTGAAAACTGAGAGGGTAACCCAAGCCAGGTATCTAACAGAAGGAGTGTTGAGACGTGAAATAAAGTAATGGCACTGGGTGAATTTCTTGTTTATTTTTGTTTTTAGTTTATTCAATGCTTTTTGAAACTGAAAGCAAAGTACAATTTATTCCATACAGGGAAGTTAAACCTGATAGAAATCTGTAACCTTTTTGACCTGAATAACTTGCAGACAGGTATCAAGGCAGCCCCATTATTTGGGAAGTGAGGGGAAGTCTCAGAATACATTTGGCCAGAGAGGGGGCCTGGGACCACCTTTTGCATATGAACTTGTCCCAAATCTTTGATTTATATTACTGATATACGTGCATACAGGAAAGAGCTCACACAGGCCATTCACATCTATAGTAATGGATATTGTAGCTGTCACCTACCCCAGGAAGATAACTGCTTGCCAGAACAGAAGAAAAGAATCATTATTCTTCAGAAGAGCATAACAGAATCAAGAGTCCACAATATAAGCTATACACTTGAGGATACAAGCCAGTATTTCTTGACCTTGAAAGAAACAGGAAGCATTCTATACTGAAAGAATAAATAGTCAGTAAAGACCAACCCCAATATCACCCAGATGTTTTAATCACTTCACAAGACATTATAATAAGAGAAAAGATTTTGGCACAAAGACATAGAGGAAAGGCATTGTTGTTAGATGCTGTTGAATTAACTGTGACTCTTAGCTCCCTATGAGCAACACATTAGAAGCTTGTCCTCTCCTCTTCATGACTGGTCCTGACATCTAATCTCATATTTCATTCAAGAAAGCAATCGTCTTATGCTTTTACTCTACTAACTCTTTAAAGCCTTTTTTCTATGATGATCGTTGTTAAGTGCCATTAAGTCGATTACACCCATGGTCACCCTGCAAGCAACAGATCTGAATGTTAATCTATCCTATACTCATCGACAGTCTGCCTTATGCAGAGGACGCACCCCTGCTCGCTGAAACTGAGTCCTGTACTCATCTACAGTCTACCTTACACACAGGATGCAACCCTGCTAGCTGAAACTGAGGAGGACCTGAAGCGCTTGCTGCAGAAGGTCAAGGACTGTAGTCTTCAATATGGATTGAGGTTCAACATCAAGAAAACAAAGATTCTCACCACTGGGCTGATTGAAAACATCAGGATGGATGGTGAAGAGATTGAGATTGTAAACAGCTTTAGTTTGCTTGAATCTACAAAATCAACACTTTTGGCACAAGCATGCAGGAAATTAAGAGATGTATTGTGTTGGGGAAATTTGCTGACAGAGACCTCTCCAGAGTACTGAAGAGTAATGATGTCAGTCTGGAGATTGATCCAGGCCATAGTCTTTGCAATCACTTGTTATGCATCAGAGAGCTGAACAATGACTAGGGATGATAGAAGGAGAATTGATGCCTTTGAGCTGTGGTGTTGGAGAAGCGTATTGAATATACCATGGACTGCTAAGAGAATGAACAGATTCTTCCTGGAAAGGGTGAAACCAGGCTGCTTCTTGGAGACAAGGATTCTGAAGCTTTATCTGGCATACTTTGGACATGTTGAAATGAGGGACCAGTCCTTAGAGAGGAACGTCATGTTTGTGAGGGTGGAAGGACAGCGCAGGAGGGGAAGACCCTCTATGAGGTGGATTGATTCAGTGACTGGGGTAATCGGGATGGGTGTGTCACAGACAGTGTGATTGGCACAGGACAGAGCAGAGTTTAGGGCTGTTGTACGTAGGATCGCTATGAGTCTCAGGCAATTCAATGGCACAAAACAACCACCACCACCATCCTCATGCTCCCTTATGCTCAGGTCCATTGGTGCAGTCACTGTCAATTCATCTGGTTGAGAGTTTTCCTCTTTTTCTCTGACCTTCCACCGTTTGCAGCATGATGGATTTTTCCAAATACTGGCCCCTCCTGATAATAAGGCCCAAGTAAGTGAGATAAAGTTTCACCATCCTTCATGCCTTTAAGGAGCACCCTGGATGCCCTTCCTCCAAAATACACGTATTTGTTCTTTTAGCAACCCAAGGGATATTCAGTATCCTTTACCAACACTATATTTCAAAAGAATTTGTTGTTCTTCTACGATCCCTATTCATTGTCAAATTTCCAGATACATATAAAGTAAATGCAAAATGCTATTACTTGATCAGGTATTCCTTAGCCTTTAAACATCCTTGATCATTAGCACTTTGGAGAGGTCCTTGATAGCAGATTTTCTCAGTGCAACATGTCTTTTGAATTCTTAACTATGCATGTTTATTTTGGGTCCAAGTGAAATGAAAGAGTTGACAACTTCAATCTTTTTTCCATCTATGGAATGAATGCAAAGACTATCTTAGAAAGAAAAGAAATATTTTTTGAAAATGGAAATCTGAGAATTTAAATATATGATTATGAAAGAAAAATTGTCTTACTTTTGTTGTATACTGGAAAATACAGAAAGAAGAGTCAATAGCCTTTCTGAAGCTCAGTGAAAATTGCTTGAATTGTAGAGGAGAAATAAAAGAAGCATTAGGTGCACACCTATATTTATTGCAGCTTTGTTCACAATAGCAAAGAGTTGGAAACAACCCAAGTGTCCATCAACAAACATGGACAGAGAAGCTGTGGTATAGTCACACAATGGAATACTATGCTGCATTGAAAAACAAGGATCTCATGCAATATTATTCAAAATGGGTGACCCTGGAGAACATTATGCTGAGTGAAATATCTCAGTCACAGAAGGACAGGTGCTGCATGGTGCCACTGTAGTAGAACAGGACTGACATTAGGGTTGGGTGTATACTGCATTGAAACAGATGAGGGAGAGAACTGTTTGAAAGTGATATATGATAGGATATTGTGGTCATGACAAGAGTCCAGAATGAAGGTTACATAGTGGAATGTACTCAGGGTGGGGGAGGGGGACTCTATACCAATGAAATAATTTGTCTTTTTGAAAGAGAAGTGCGAACTGGGGGAGAGGTGGGCAGGGAGAAAAATGCAACCAACAATAAGTGAATGGAAATCCCAAATCGCTGTAAACATTCATTAAAATTAATTTTTAAAATAATTTAAAAAGAAGCATTGGGGGGAAGAGCCTCATAGTTTTCAGAAAAATATAAAAACATCTAACATACATCAGATTAGATTTCCAGAAGCATTATAGAGCATTATGAAGAAGAATAAATATTTAAAGACATAACATACAAATATTTATCAAATTTTGTGAAAGACATTAATTTACTAACTAAGGAAGCTCATCAGAGTCAGAACTGATCCAGTGGCACATACCAATAACACTATTTTATTTTCACCTTTGCCTTTAATGTACTTTATAATGATGTTTTCGTACTATGAAGATTTAAATTTTTTTTATATAACCTTATTTAGTACCAATCTCCTTATATACTCTTTCCATATATTCTTTATAAAATGACTTCCAGGTATGTATTCATATCATAAGAATTTCCTTTTTTGTGATGTTGTATTATTTTGGTTTGCTTTTTCAGTTCTTTCATGGTATACCATACACATTTATGAGGGAAAGTTTGAATTTTATTTAGATTTTAGTAACACGTTCTTTCCTCAGTGATTTTACATGTCTCCTTATCATAGACTCCATTTCTCAATGTGCTCGAGTTGGCTGCAGGGCTTGTTTTTCTGTTCTATTAATGTGACTGAGTACTCTTAGTAATTCCATACTTTAATAATGGCCATTGCTTCATAATAAGTCTTGTTATTTGGTAGGGCATGTTCCCCATTCTTGTTATTTATTTTCAGAAGTATCTTCACTAACCTTAGACTTGAACTGTTATTTCCTGCCCCTATTTTCGGATTTGTTTTTTATTTCTTTTCTTGAACTAAGCATAGTTTATAGCTTGTCCGATAATTGCATTCTTCTAGTCTTTAGCATTTTGTTTCTGTTTTCTGCTGAGCTGCTTCTCTTCACTGCACTTTGCTTACTTATTGTATGTAGTGTTTTTCAAAATGTGCTTGTACTTTTCCATAGACTCCTGTTACTGAGAATGACTTGGGTCTTGACAAATGAGTGGACTCTTCTAGTTTTTGTACTGTGAAGATTTAATTTTTTAATTAATTTGCATTTGCTTGTACATCTAGAGGCACTACTACTTAATGATCACTCATGTTCTCAATCTGAGCTTTTTGAGGACATTTTGACTATGTAGATCATAACAAATTATGGCTAACATTGAGGAGAATGGAAATTCTGGAGCACCTAATTGTGCTCATGTGAAACCTATACCTAGACCAAAAAGCTGTTGTCTGAAAAGAGCAAGGGAATACTGCATTGTTTACAATCAGTAGAGATGTGTGTTAGGGGTTGATCCTTTCTCCAAATCTATTCAATATGTATGCTGAGCATATACTTCTAGAAGCTAAACTGAAGGAAGAAGGAGTGCGGCATCAGGGTTGGAGGAAGACTCACAACAACCTGCGTTACACAGGTGACAAAACCTTGCTTGCTGAAAGTGAGGATTTGAAATGCTTCCTACAGATCAGAGACTAT